AGTGAGCTTCCACAGGCTAGTTCAAATCTCAAAAGGGGCCAACATGGAAATGTGTGGACAGCCTCCCACTGTGTCCCTATTCTCACTTTTGTATATACTCTTATGTTTCCAAGTCCACACCACATGTCAACTGCCTTTTCAAACTTCACTAGTCTTCTCTATGACTTTAATCCTGTTTTCAATGCAGGGGCACTTTAGGAAAACCATGAAAGTAGAGTAACAAGCTGCTTTGCAAGATGAATGCTGATAGTAGACAAGGCCTATTTGCAAACTAACTTATAAGCTAACTCCTCAATGACAGGGATTCTAATTTGTGCCCCACCTAATTTATAAATTAATACACATCAGGGAATCTCTAGGTTATTTCAAAACAGAAATCAGAAATGTAAAAAGTACACGAATGCCTATCAGAATGCCTATCATGCATGCCCAGGAAACAGGCAGTTCAGCCCTGTGGCCAAGAGTTTTGGGCCCTACAGATACAAATCTTACTTGCTGGCTCTCTAAGATACTTAACTGCTGGTATGTCCATTTCCAAGGCGTGGTCATCTAAAGCATGAGAGTTTTATGAAGATCAAGTGACTTAATACTTATAAAATGCTGCAAAAAGACTTGATAAACATTAGCTATCACTATGACAGGTGTATGCATTTTGACTTTCCACATCACGCTACTCAACAGGTTACACTGGCATCCCATTCTTCTTCCTAAAAATAATTCATTAGGTTTGTTGCTTGTTAAGTCATTCCAAAAAAAAACAAGGGAGGAAAACCGAACTCTCATACAACATGGTGAGGGTAAAAATTCCAACAACTTTTTAAAATGGTAAATTTGGAAATATGTATCAAAAACCTTAAAACTTAGCATGTGCTTTGATCCTGCAAATCCACTTCTAGAAACTTATCCTAAGGAAAAACACCTCACAAGTATACACACAGATATATGTAGAAGGATAGTCACCGCAGAGTTACTGATATTGGGGGGCGGGGGGGATTAATGTCTAATAAAATAAATTTAATTATCATAGATCCATAAAATGGCATATTATTGTTACTAAACTATTATAACTGATAATACAGACATGGAATAATTCATAAGATGTCCAAAAAAAAGTTACAAAACAATCATATATATATATATATATATATATATATATATATATATAGCAGGATCCCTTGTTACCAAAAATTGTTTATGAATAGCCACATGCACACAGAAAAAGGGTTTGGAGAGCTATGTACTCAAACAATGGACTTACGAGCAATTTGTAATTTTCTACTTTGTATTATTCTGTATTTCAATTTCTCTACCGTGAACATGCAGTTCTTTACAATAGAAGGGATATTAGCTAATCATCATAAATTGATTATCAGTTTGGTTCTGAAATGTACAATTAAGCTGAAAGTGATGACAAGGTATATCTTTATTTAGAAAAAACATTTATGTAACATTTGATGGTTTACTAAATACTTTTAATGTTCAGCCTAGTTATCCAATCAATTTCTTTAGTACCAAGAAATTTACAAGAGGCTTCTTTTTCAAGCAATGGATTTCTACTTACTACCATAAAGTACAGTAGTACAAAATTAAATGGATTAGCTTTTGAGTTTTACATGTTTTTATATACCCCAATTCTTAATCACTGTAATTACCATTTATTAAATAAACATGTCCCAAGAACTTATGTAAGCACTTAGAAGTATTTACACTTTATCTACTATTATTATTCCCATTTTTAGCTGAGAAAACAGGTGTTGAGAAGTTAGGTGGCTAGAGCAAAGGCACAGTCTATGTGTGATCAAACCCAGGATTCTCCAGAGATTAACTATCCTGCACCCTCAACTATATAATAGAATCTGTAATTTATGGGGTCTTATGCTGGATGGACTATGAAAGAAGGGAATGAAGGTCAGATTTTATTAGAATGAAAAAAGAAATTGGAAAACATACCAATGTTCTATATTTTTTGGAAACCAATTTTAATAGCATTATGTTAGGCTTATCATAGTTTATAAAATGGTATTTTGATATAGTGGTGACACAGTTTACCACTACACTGTGTCTTAAATTTACATTTTGAGTCTCTAAAGTAAATATTTTGTAGATGCCTTCTTTCCAGCTCATCACCTTGAGCACTCTATGCCTGAGAAAGGTTCTCCCCTTTCAGAACCAACCAAACTTACAGAAATGACTGGGGTATAGTACTTATTAGCTCCTAATTTCTAAAATCAGTGACTACTAAGTGATAAAAATGATTTTACAAGTAAAGGTTTTAAAATGTGGCCTCGCTGCAATGAAATTCACTCAAATATTTAATCGAGTTCCTCCAGACACTAGTCTAGGCACTCAGGATACAATGACCAACCAAAGTCTCTGACCTTCTGAAATATTTACAGTAGGTATATTCGAGTGTCAGAGCCAGTTTTTACTAGCAGCCTAAGGTGTTAAACATTCTGTTACTTGAAAAACTTGCTATCCACCTCAAGAAATGGTCTTAGACAACAGTCAGTGAGAAGGAAGCCCACCACCAGTGGTTCTCCAACTTTTCTTAGCAGAGAAATTCCTGGAAAATTTGTTGAAAATACTGATTTCAGACCCCCACCTCCAGGAGTCTGATTCGGAGGGGATGTGACAAAACAAAAACAAAACATATTTTTAACAAGAACCTCAGTTAATGCAGCTGTAAGTGATCTGAGGTCCAGACTTTGAGAAACCCACCAGTACCTGGAGCCATTCAGAAGGAATGATCATTCAGAAGAGAAAAGCTCTACTGCAGTGGAATTTGAACTGAGTAATAAACCCAACCCTCATGTAATTAATCAATTATCTGCAATTCACAAATGTAGCAAATTAAAAAGATGAGTTAGAGTAATTTACCAGCATTTCCTCCTTAACTTCTTATAGAAGATCTGAATTTGCCTCAATCTAGGCCTTTGGGGAAAAGATGAACTTATACAGACTTTTACTACCAATATTAGAGATAAGCATTTTAAGAAAAAGGAAATTGCCAGTCGAGTGCAAAAAAAAATGCTAAGAGGGACAAACATTTCACGGAACTAACTTGCTACTCATCATTTTATGCCCTATTTCACAATACTTAGTATCTGGACAATCCAGGATTCCAAAGTACATCAAAAATTGGTTCATTTCCTCTCTTACTTGGGTAGAATAATAATAGAGCTTTGCTAAGATACCATGTGCCTCAGCAATTTCAATAGGTACATTCTTAGATTAAAAAATACTTTTTAAAAAAATGTTCTAATAGAAACTCCTTAACTGGAGCTACTTGAAGAAGTTTTAAATAGTTTTAATGTCATCACTAGTGTCCCTATTTCTCAATTTAGATTACTTAAAAGTTCCTGGGTTCTTTACAAACCTTCTACATTAAGAATTCAATATTTTAAAAAAAGTTTAAGTTGTAAGCAAACACACATCAAAGCAATATAAACATTTCAAGTAAACCATTAAAAAGAATTAAAAGAGAAATATAGTCCTTTATTCTGAGATTGACAGGTGGAAATCATAACTTGGAGGGTTGTTTAAGCTTCTGTACCTTAAGTCATCTAATTAACACAGATATCCCAACAAATACACTCCTCCTATTTCAGAGGTTAAGAGCAGCAGTACACAAACCAGCTGGCCTGCTGGGTCCTGGCCCCAGTCCCTGCCGGCAGATCGTGTCCACTACATAATCCATGCCATCTCTGAGCCCGTACTTCAATCCATCCAAAGAGATTAATAAAACTGTCTCCTCGTTTGACAGAGTTGAGAGTTTTCAGATGCATTTGTTTCTATGGTATTTGGTTCGGGGTTTTTTTATTATCTATACTTTTGATTGTACTTGTTTTTATTATTTGTACGCTTTGACCACTTAAATAGCAAGAGCAGGATGCCAGCAGATACTCATAAAGAAACGCATCTGTCCAGAGTCGGCGTGTATTTGAAATTTCAGGCTGGGGCTGCCTTCACAACAGCACTGATGATGATCGCCAAGTTCTAAAGGAAACTTTCATATTAAGAGGCTATCAAAAAAATCTCCATAGCCTCCAACTCAACGGAGAAGCCGCTCATCTATTTCTTCAAAGGCAAAACCTGCTTCGGTCTGAATCACAACAAAAGATGCCCATAGGAAATGTCATCTACGAAGTTGTTTTGCTAATCCAAAGCTAAACATAAGCAAAGGAAGGTGCAACCCATTCCTTGTTGGTTTCCTTTTCCTAGGGATTCTGATTACATTTCCTCGTCCAAGCAAGCAGAGACCGCAATTGTGCCTTGGGTCCACACCATAGCACGGTGCCTGTGCGTAAAGAAGGGAAAGGCGGAGCGGCAGGCACCGGGGACGCGCTCCCACTGAAAGGAGAGCCGCTTTCTGTTAAATACCATCAGTCAGCCCCGGCAGGGCGACTCAGGGCCAAACGGCATTGACTGCCCTTCACTGACAGCGACTGTGCAGGCACACGGGAGAGAGAGAGAGATGAGCCGGGGGCTCGGGGCCGGGGGAGAGGCGGCGGCGCGATGCCGCTCCCCGCGAGCTCCGAATCCCCGGGAGGCTGCCGGGGAGGCGAGGCTTGGCCAGCGCGCCACGCTCAGGCGGCCGAGGGCAGCGAGGTCAGCCTTGGAAGGACCGACCGCCCCCACGTCCCCCCTGGGGAGGGAGAGACCCCGCTCCGCCGGCCAGGGCTGCGGACGCCCATTCAACCCGAAGCCCGTCCCGCGACCGCCACCCCCTCGGCCCGCCGCGGCTCCGCGGCTCCCCGGCCTCCGGGCGCTGGCCAGCGGGCCACCCCACCGCCGCCCCCGGGAGGATGGGGAAGGACGAGGCAGAGTGGCCGCCGGGGCCGCGCCTCCCGGGCACGCGGCAAAGGGTGAAGGGCGCCCCTCGGGACGCGCGTCGGGCCTCTGGACGGGCGCCCCGGGCGGCCATCGCGCCGACCCCCGCATGGACCCCCGCCCCCGCTGCCTCCCAGGTCCAGGCCGCCGCCGAGCAGCCAGCTCCTCACCTCATCTCCAGGCGGGTCTGCGCTGCCGCCCCAGGGACAAATCAGTGCAGCTCACTCGCCGCGGGGAGGGACGCAGGAGCCGCAGCCCCGCACACCATCCCCGCCCGCCTGCCCGCCTGCCTGCCTCTCCGTGCGTCCCGGAGTCCGCTCGGGATTCTCCCTCGCGAGCCGCCGTACTACGGAGCAACCAAGCTGCGCTCCCTCCCCTCTCCTCCGCTTTTCTCTACCTCCTTCGCTCCCTCCCTCGCTCCCTCGCTCCCGCCTATCTCCTCATCTCCCTCTGCTGCCTGCCCCGCCCCTATCCACCCCTCCATCTCCGCCCACAGGTGGGTGGAGACAAACAGCCTGCCAATTGGAAGAAGGGGCCGGCACCTCCTCACCGCCTCCCCTCCTCTAGCTCCGCCCACCTCAGGAACGAATGAAGAGGGTGGAGTGACAGCCAAGTAAACCAATCGCAAGCGCAAAGGGGGAGCGGGCATAGGATTATCCTTCCCCGCCCCCTTTCCCGAAGGCGTAACCAAACCAAATCCTTCTGGTCTGGGATTTCCCTGACCTGGCTTATGGAGATTTTGTTCCACGATTTCAATGCATCTGTCTGTTGCAATGCGAGACACTAGTTAGGATGCATTCAACTAATCTAGTTACAGCAGATTTTAAAGGAGAGAATAACGTGGAAGCGAAGAGGGAGGCGGGGCACAGCCCTAGTAAAGTGGTAGGGCAAACGAGAAGGGGTGGAATGAGAAGGGGTGTCATCTTTAACTGAAATTTGCATAAAACGGAACCCATCCAGCTGACTACAACTTCACCCATTTATTGGTAGCCCCTGAGCAGCGCCTCGCCTCGCCTTGGAGCAGAACATGCCGGGAGATGTAGTTCCAAGTTCAGTTACTACGGCGTTCTCCACAGCCTCCGGAGTCCGGGAGTGACGAGCGGCCTGACCAATGGGAGCAGCGCCTGGGCCAGCGGGGGCGGGCTCTCTGCAGAAGGACTCGAAGGTGGCGGTGGCGAAGGCGCAGGCCGTTAGGGCAGCTCGAAGGCAGGTGAGCCTGGGGAAACACGTCGTGTGTCTTGGGAAACAGGGCTTTGGAGGAAAGATCGAGAGGCGCCCCGCGAACCATCCAGCCCTGGGGCGGGCGGTGGTTCGCGTCGCATCCCAGATCCCCTCGGGCCCAGGCCTAGCTTAGCTGAGGGCGCAGAGGGGCGGGTAAGACTTGGTTTTGACTGACGATTTCCTGGTCCTTACAGGTTTTGACTGTAAGTTTTATCTCAGTTTGCATCTCCCTTCACCTATAATGGAGGCAAAAGTCCAGAAGTTCCCTTCCACTGAATCTCCCGGGTATGATTTACCCCACCTGCTTCTTTCTGTTTGTTCCTATAATTGGAGTTTCTTTTTCTTTCTCGCTTACTATGCAACCGCTTTCTCCTCCTTCACTTTCCTTTTTTAGTGAGCAGTAGGGACAGATTTGCCCTTTTAAGCTTAACTGCTGATACTCTGCAGCAGTGCATAAGAATCACCTCAGAATATGTTGAAGTGCAGATGCCGATTTTGTAGGTTGGGCGAGGACTGAGAATCCTTGTTTCTTACAAGCTCCCAGGTGCTGCTGGTCCGCCTTAGACCCGCAAGGTTCTCCATCAGCTAATAATGAGAGCCACTTACGTAATTGAAAATTTTCTGGCAGCCACATTAAAAAACATGAAACACATGAAATCAATTTTAATAGTATGTTTCATTTAATCCGTTATGTCCAAAATGTTATCATTTCAACCACAATCAAATATTTTTAAATTGAGATATTTTTCCTTTTTTTCTTATTGTCTTCGAAATCTTATGTATGTTTTACATTTACAGCACATCTTAATTCTGATTAGACACAGTTCAAGTGCTCCCTAGCCACCTGTGGCTTATTGGACAGCTCAGATCCAGAAGATATGATTGCCCAGTGCAGAAACTAAAAGGTGATACAGCTAAGAGTTTGCATGTGACCAAGCCCTTTGCTGCCCTTTGAGATGGGCTTCGGAACTATGTGAGAGATCCTCTGCCCAGTTTGCAGAAATATTGTAATAGTCAAAATAGCCAACACTCACTGAACGCTTATTTTGTGCCAGGTTTTGTACTGGGTGCTTTGCATGTATTCTTTAATCCTTACAGCAACCCTTTGAGGTACTACTACTATTATCTCTGTTTTCTAGATACAAAATCTAAGGTCCAGAAGGTTAAAATTAAATAGCCCAAAGTCATATAGCTAATAAGAAGGAGAATCAGGATTCAAACTCGGGTCAGTTATGACTTCTAAATCCTGTCAACCACTGCAGTGTATAATTATCTTTTATCACTAATTTCACTTCGTTGATGCCTCTGCTCCAGTTTCTGACAGGGGATGAAATGTTCAGATTTGAAACAGGGAAGGTTCCCATATAAGGTCAAGTGGCCTGTCAGTTGCAGTGCAATATTTTGATAGTTTTACCACTGTCAGTGCTGTGCATTCAAAATCCAATGTTCTGGACTGTAGAAGAGTGTTCAAATCTTCGAGATATTTAGACCTCTGGGTCAGTACCCTGGGCAGCACTCTGTCTTGATTAATTTGTGTACCTCCCTAAAGATGGAAAAACTAGGGAATTCTTAAAATGTTTCACTATGGAATCACAGTGTGTTTTGGGTTTGTTTTTAGTGAAATCTTTTTTTAATTGATAAAACTGAGTGTTTTCTTGCTCTTGTGAATTTCACATAGACTATTTCAGACAACTTTTGTGATTTTTCTAGACCCATTGAACAGTAGTACATGGAACTAAGGAGAGGTTTTGTCAGTAGAAGAGTGAAAGTACACATATCTACACATGCTAAAATACAGTATTTTGCAAAATAATTTTCTTCTATTTCTATACATTATAATATTACATATTATAAATTATTTTCTCTTGATTATGAATTTATTAGCAAATGTTTAATCAAAATTACAATTTCTATTTTGCATCTGAAGCAGGAAATGGTTTCTTTAAGATCCTATAGCAAATTGGAAAATTAAATAAGCACTTACAAACTGCAGTGATAATCAGTGGAGAAGATTGGCTGAATCAATTGGAGAGGAGGGAAAGCGTAGAGATTTGAAGATCCTTCAGTTGCTTATACCCCTCATCACCACCTGCATTGTCCCAGTGTCACATGATTAAGCCAGCATAAAGAGAATACTTTCATCACACCATTGGATCCATTGTTCTCCAGTAGCACAATATTGGAAAAGATTGTGCTGATTCAGAAATGTAAAGGATGCCGAAAAAATGGATACACATTTTAAGAAAGAAAAAAACTGTATTAAAATTGTAATAATATATACCAATAAAAAAAATGAATACAAGTCATGTGTATACATTTTTTTGGCATCCCGGTATAAATGAAAGTTAAGCTTCTATTGTTCTGCACCTTACTATATTAAATGGCCCTACATTGATTAGTAACTAGACCAAAGATTTCCAATCTTTGACATAATTACGATCCCACCGCCCCAACCTACCTACTACCCACCCCCTAAGAGGTACCGTATTTGCCGGCGTATAAAACGATTTTTTGGCCCTGAAAAATATGCCTCCAAGTGGGGGGTCGTCTTATACGCCAGGTACACTTCAGATAGACTGCCCATAGTGCTTGCCCCTGCCATAGTGGCCTCCCAATGCCCGCCCACTTCATTCCACATACCGTTCAGGCATCAGCAGCGCTGCTGGGTGTATGCTCGGCTGTGCGATTTTGCGAGTGTGGTAAATTCGGGTTACCGTATATTTCTTTACATATGCATTGAAGATTCGCGATTTTGCGCTATCATGGTGCCTGTTAGAATGTTGAAGAGCTCGCACTTGCGCACTAGTGAGGTCCCAGGGAGATGCTGATGCAAGGGTGGACCAGACTGCTATAGTGACAGGGTGGGCAAACAGGGAGCAGGGACCAATCAAATCAGGCTTTGTATACAGCCAACAGCCAACCACAATACTGCACCATTGTACAGTACAGCATAGAAAATGTCGACCAGTCAAACCCCTATCATCCCTATCATGGCACCAGCCAAAAGAAAGAAGTATGATGCAAATTTTAAACTGAAAGTTATAAACTTTGCTAAGGAAAATAATAATTGTGCTGCTGCAAGACAATATGGAGTAACAGAAAAGATGGTTCGGGACTGGAAATCAAATGAGAAAGCATTAAAGAGTATGCCAAGGGGTAAGTGTGCATTAAGAAGAGGCACCCCACACTGGCCAGAACTCGAAAAACATGTAGCAGACATGGTGGCTCAACATCGCCAAAACGGTTATGTGGTGACACAAAATACAATACGCTTGTTTGCACTTCAGTGGGCCAAATCAAATCTGATATTGTTTTACCTTTTATTTGGTGTGTGGAAGGTGTGCGGAAGAGGGGGTAGTCTTATACGGCGAGTATATAACAAACTCTGTATTTTGAGTGGAAATGTTAGGGGGTCGTCTTATACGCCCAGTCGTCTTATACGCCGGCAAATACGGTACTAGCAGGGAAATGCCTCCAGTGAGAACCCTAAGTGAAAAGGTATTTTATAAATCAATAAATAATAACAGTTAAGCTCTCCTGGAGGCAGGAGAGTTAATCAAAAATTTATTTGAGATTCAAAAGGTCATTGTTGGGAGCCCCTGTTCTAGAGACTCATGTTGGATACCACTTGATGCATAGATGTAGGCAACAATTGGACATCTCCAAGCAAATGCGGTTTTATTTGTTTTTTGTCTTTTGGGTTTTTTTTACTTGCCTAAAGCATACCGTATTTCCCCATGTATAAGACGCTCCCATGTATAAGATGCACCTTAATTTGGGGGCCCGAATTTGAAAAAAAATGTATTACATAAAGTTATTGAACTCAAGTTTTATTCATCATAAAATTCATACAACTCATCATCACTGTCAAAACTCCCAACCATTAGCTTGTCCTCATCTGTGTCTGATGACGAACCACTGTCTTCATATATTGCCTCGTCCTCAGTTCCATCTATGGCATTTGAAATCTACAACCACTGTATAAGACGCACCCAGTTTTTAGACCCCAAATTTTTCGAAAAAGGGTGCATCTTATACATGGGGAAATACGGTATATCAAAAAGAAAAATTTTGTTCTTTCCTAATTCTTCACCTATCTTTAGATCTCAGGTTGTATGAGGTGTAAAGATTATGCCACACATGTAAAAATTCAATCGAGTATGTCTTAATAATGTTCAGAGAAATCTAGATTGTCATAATTAGATGAGGCTTAAATATAGTCATCTCCACCCCATCCCCCCTCAACTGATGCTTGAATCCCCTTTATGATGCCACTGTAACAGTGTATCCAGGCTCTGTTTAAATACCTCCAGTGATAGGGACCATGCACCATCATGCATTTTCCTATATTTAAATTATATACCTAAAATTTGAAAATAAAGCTTCTTTTAGCACGTTATTAGCTAGAAATGTTTTCTAGGGTCTAGCCAGGTATAAGCCACTATCACAGTGTCTCCCGCACCCATCTCAACAGGCACAGGAGAGTGGTGCAGTTGTTTGTAGCAGAACACCTGTGTACTCATTGCTTATGTAAAGTATCATTAGAGTGTACAGATTTCTAGAGACTGTTGCCCACATAGTGTAGAGATGACCTGCAACTGTTAAAACCGTGCATTCAGCTCCCGCTAAGAAGCAGAGCTGGCCTATCTAGTTAGGGCTACCATTCTCTGCAACCTACAAAGTATGTATTTAAACCACACCTCCATCTAGTTACTTTCGTTTGTTGACCATATTTTTTTTTTTTT